AATGGGATTTACTGATGGTTAGAGGAATATTGGCAGCTGGTTAATCCTTTAAGAGGGTCTCTTATGCTTATTTCAGGTTCTCTCTATTTTTTGGGATTGCAGTTAAGCAGCTTTGCATAATTCACAGTTTTTGTTTTTAAATTATTATCTGTCCTAAACTGGTCCTTCATACAGACCCTATGCTTTATCTTGTCTGAAGTCAGCTTCTTTTTAAGCCAATCCTCCCATTCCAAAGAAGCAGGTCCTCCTGATTGACCAACCTCTGGAAGGATGCAGAGAAGCAGTACGCAGTGTTTGCAAGCTGCAGAGTAGATGTCCATATAAGGAAATCCACAGTGAAAACTGGAAATCTAGTAATTGCAACATTAAACTTCCTTATCCTTACCCCGAGCCACTAAACAACAGACCTAAGTGTAGAGATTGCTGTGGTGCAGGCTGTCGAGGCAAGACTGGAAACACCTAACCTTTACAGAAAGCAGGGTCCTACACTGTAATCTGTCACTCAAGAAACAAATTGCTATAAATCAACTGGCCCATCAGTATTCTGCAGCCCAGAGAGAGAGAGCACATTACACCTATCCTTACATCTGTTCCTATCAGTTTTCATATTGATTTTGGGAATCCTTTACTTGTTGTTAAAACACTGAATGGTCTTGCTCAGCTGTATGTCTCATATACTTAGAGTGCACGAACCAGTATGGTCCCTCGGGTCCTTGAGCACAAGTAGCTCCAAAGTGCAGGATAGAAACATTTGAGGAGGCAGCTTTTAGCTTTCCTGCTCTGAACTGCAGTCTGCAGGAGGACTTGAGGTGAAACTAGAGATGTTTAAAATCTGCTCAGAGACATTAAAACTGAAACCCTCTTTAGCCTAGCTTTTGATTAGGTTTTAATTCAACTTTCAGTTCAGCTCAGTTGTATTTCTATAGCACCAAATCACAACAACAGTCGCCTCAAGGCACTTTGTTTTATTAGGTAAAGACCTTGAGGGTGACAGTGGGATGGAAAAACTTCCCGCTGAAGAGGAGTCTTCCTGTCCAGGCAGTTGTTGGGATGTATTTGTTGTTGTTGCAGTTTCTGTAGCATGGCTTATTTTTAAAAGGTGGGGTTGCTAGCCCCACGCCCAACCCTCCTCCTTTCTCATCCTGAACTTGGGACCAGGCAATGGCGAAGTTATGTGAATATGTATTTTGTTCATATTATCTCCTTAAATATTTGCACATATATATGCAAATTAATAATTTTTTTGTTTTTAATTCCATCCAAAGGTTCACTAAACACTCCATTTTCAAAAACATTTGAATTTTCTAACAGTTATGTCATGGTTTCATGGTTCAGGCTTTAAAGGTTTAAGCAGATGCTCGGACCACCTTAACTGGCTCCTTTGGACAGATATTAAGTAAAATGTTTTTTGGGTTGTGTTTTTTTAATACGTAAAAAAATCGAAATGCCTTACTATATGTGTGGCTACGTGTCTAATATGTGTTGCAGAGTGTGTTCAGGTTGCTGTTGCAAATCACCAGGAGACAAAAACTTGAATTGTAATCCTTGACTGCTAATTGCTGGACGAGTAAATAAGCAAAACTAAAACTAATACCTTGTGTAGACTTTAGGAAATACGTTGCAAAAACAATAAAATATGAGTTAAGAAAAAGGACAATTATTAATTTTGTAAACACAAAAACATTAGCTAAAGCAACTTTTCTCCTAAACTTGAAATTATAAGTTATCCATCAGAACCTAAAAACATAAATGCAGTGAGTTGCCTTGAGTTTTTAAGTTTTCGCAACGTTTTTTTTTTTTTAACAGTGTAGCAAGCCAAACCTACCTTTACAAAGTGACAATATGTGCAAAAACTGCAGACTTTAAAGTCATTTCTTTCCACCAGATGCCTCACGAACAATTGCGTTGCCGTGTTGTGGCAAACTCAAATGCTGCTGCATATAAATAATTCAGCTTGATTTACTTTGAAGCCATGAAAAGTTTGGTATAAATAACCATATTGTAAAGATGGAGAGAAAAAAGGAGTTCTCTCACAGGATCAGCAGGACACACCTTCCTCTCTCTCTCTTTCAGCACAGAGCCTCGCTGTGCTTTCCCAGAATTCCTTGCAGCTCTTCAGTCCCAGTGGATCTGTTCTCCTCTATTTGCTGTGGCAGCAAACCAATCCAGTGCCTTTACTCCTAAGAACATCCAGCCAATCGCAACCGAGCATGGCAATGACCCACTTAGGCACACGCACTCACATCTCTCTACCTGTCACCTTGAACATCTCGTCAAGGTTGTGCAAGGGTACCAAACTGTGTGTGTGTCTGCGTGTGTTAGGTAGACAGCACCAACAACCAGGAGACACTCCTGTCAAACCAGCACTAAACACAAATAATCACACAGACACTTCAGAACAATTAGATTCCAGTTTGACGTGAACTTTCTGATCTTCTCACAAAGTATCAAGTCAGTCAGAAATGTTGCTTCTTTATGCATTATCATTTGTATCATCATATCTGCTCAATACAAGGAGAGAGTTAGCCTAACAGAAAAATAGGAAGAATGAGGGTGAGGGCTTGCCAGTCTGTGGCCAAAACATGCTTTTTACCTTTGCATCTCAAGCATGCTAATTAAGGCGTTATTTGTATTTCATTATTAAAAACAAGCAGAGACTGTTTGTGAAGTGAGTGCATTGTAGCTGTGACACAAGATAGAAACACCCTAAATTATATCTTGCTTTAAAGGAAAGAAGTAGAGTTTAGGCTTTTGTGCTTTTCAAGTTTGTGTTTTTTTAATATAAAATAGGATACGAAATAAAAGCAAGTTTTCATTTAGCTTCTTTTTAAAAGGCATCAACAGTGTCCACAGATGTAAGGTCTAATGGAAGCGAGTGCCACAACATGTAGTTCTATGTAAAATAAATTTGGACAAGACAGCCACCACGCTTATCAAAACTGAACGCCTGATCAAAACTATCACAGAGATTTCTCACAATTTAGAAACCTAAAGATGAATCAGATACAAGATTATCAGTTGGTGTGGAAACGCAGTTGTCGGGGACAATATTTACAGACAGATAATTATTTAGCATCCAGTTCTTTATACCACGAATGCCGTCCTGAAGAACAGACAGTAACAGTTTCACGATGTGTCCAAGCAGAAGCGTATACAAGGCAAGCAAAATGGAGCCCGGGACTGAACCTTGAGGCACACCGTGACATAAAGCAGCAGAAGAAATCACAAAAATTAGCAGAAGGAAGTAAAAAAGTGAGGAGAATCAATCCTGAGCCGACCCAGAGATGTCCATTCAACGTCTAAGTCTCTGAATCAGGATCCTATAATCGAAGGCCCTTGCTTCACCTTTTTGTAATATCTTGCTGACAAGCAGCACACAGCAGTGCTGATGACATGTAGCATCCTGTGTCTCCCCAGAAGGGCGAGACCAAAAGTACCACCATGCAAGGCTTCAGCTGATACTGGATAAACATCCTAATGCTGGTGTCACCAACGCTGCTGATATATTTTGTTAAACTCGATTTTGATTTAGCGGTAAAAACAAAGCAGAGTATGTTCTGACGTTATCACACCGTAGGGGCAAACTTAAGGGTTTATCAAAGTTAGACACAGAGATCATCATGATACTTTAACTGTGGAGCCACCAGGCCCTGAGTTGAGATCTATCAGAAAAGCACAATGTCTACAGCCTGGATGTCAAAGTCTCAAATAGCTCTTGAGATGTTTTACCCTGGAGACTGACGCTGCAAATTTTGCAAAATAACTATTTGATGTGACGCGTGCGCATTTTAGACATCTGGAAAAAGTGACCCACACATCACAGACAGAATGAATAGAAAAGGATCTTTCCTGTTCATTTATTAAAACGATTTCTTTCTGAGCGTGTGCCTTCACAGGTGGATAATATGGATGAGTGCAGGGAGGAGAAAGCAGTCTGGTACGACAGGAAAGTTCAGAGACTGTTGCTGCTTGTGGAGAAGTGCAAACATCAGCATGTTGTGAGCTGACAATACGAGAGGGAGATGTTTATTGTAAACACAAATACTGCTCTCCCTCTTAAAAAACGTTTGGTTCTGTTGCCTTTTTCTTTTTATAACAGGTTACATGTCAGCTAAAAAAAAAAAGAAGAATGAAATAAAGTAAAATAAAAAAGCCCTCAGTGCTCTCGGTGTTACTGAGGTTTCGTTTGCTCCGAGGGCTAGAACGTGTGTAAATGCTTCATCAATCCTGTTGTGCTAGTTATGAGATTGACCTGCAAACGTGCACGGCAGCACAGAGAAAACATAGTTTGGTCTTTTGCGTTTTGAGACTGAAAAAATGAGGACAGTAAAAGTGTTGAGCGATGGGTCACAAGTCAAAAGAGTTCAAACAGGTACAGGTTATAAAAAACATCGAATGCAACTTTAATGGGCTTTTTTTTCATTAAGTATTTCATTAAAAACAACAAAAATCAATAATAAACAGACAGAATGGAGAATGGGGTCAGATCCACAGCACCACAGTTTGGGCTGAGGTACAGAGGGGTCACAGAGGGGTCACAGAGGGAAAAGACTTAAAGTCATTAGTCCATCACTGCTGCTCCCGCGATGAAGACTTATCTCCTCCTCCTCTCATCTCTCTCTCTGTTCCGGTCTCTGTTCTCTTTATTCCTCTCTTTGTCCCTCTCCCTATCCCTCTCCCTTTCTCTCTCCCGCTGCTTCTCGCGCTCCCTCTCCCTCTCTCTCTCTGCCTCATTCTCTCTCTCCCTCGCTCGCTCCCTCTCTCTCTCTGCCTCATTCTCTCTCTCCCTCGCTC